AGACTGGAGAGCTGAAGTTTCGAGCACTGGCCTTGGGAACGTGAGAAGTGACCTGGCGATTAACATAGAGTTATAGCTAGTTAAATTAAAAAAAAAAACTTCCAGAGTAAGTAGTGGCCCAAGAAAATAGAGTGTCAAGGTCTTGTTGAAATAGACTGGCATCATGACTCACTTGAGATTCTGAAGTATCGTAAATCCTCTATTAAGTCCCCCGCGGGGGCTTATTTACTCCAAGCCCATATGAGCAGGGGCTTAATAGAGACGCGGGGCTTATTTAATTATATTTAGAAACGACGATGGTATCAGTTTTCCAGGAAGAACTAGAATACGAAGTGGAAAAGTTAATGTACAATACGTTTTAGGTCATGCAGCCGAGGATCAGAATCGAATCCGAACTTCAAGTTGGTAAATAAACTATCCTAGATCAGTCTACACGAACTTTTACAGTTGTGATTGATTAATAGATCGTTTTCACTGTCACGAAACAAAAAAATACATTGGAAACAGTCCTGTGGAAGAAGCCAAGAAAATGTAGTGTTATAAAAGACTAATAGATAAACAATTTGTCCAAGTCTCAGGTCTTTGTGGCCCACAGTTTCTGAGTAGTTTGCCGAAACGTTTCACGCGCCTTTGTACAGCGTAGAGGTGTTATATTGGTGTACAGTTTTGGTGCACCAATATGGCCGCCCGAAATCAACAAAAACATCTGGAGTTCACTTTTTCTATAAAAGCTCTTTCTTTTCAATCGAGAACTAGCATACGTGCGCATAAACATATCTTTTAATATCTCAAATGGTTATATTGCTACAAATCGAGAGGAGAGACTTTTTTTCAACGAGACAACATTCCTATTTTGGTGTCACGCGCTGTGAAAACTTTGAAGTTCAAATGCTGTATTTTCGAAATGAAAAATGCTACGGTAATGGAAACTTGTGCAAAGATTTATTTTTTGTTTATCTTCAACCTAGTGCAAATAAGAATTCGTAAAACTTCGCTATTTTGACTTTACAATTTGATGACGTCACTGTGAAAACCATCTATACATTAGTGAAAAATAATAAGGGGGAGGGGAAGGGGGGCTTATTAACTTGCTTCCCCTGAAAATTAGAGGGAGCTTATCAGAGGGGGGGGGGCTTATTTGAAAGGGGGGAGTGGGCTTAATAGAGGATTTACGGTAGTACATATAGAGAACAGTATCAGCAAATAACTAATCATTTTGAAATTGAGGTTAGGATCAATGTCACTGAAAAAAGGGGTCCTAGGACGGTACCTTGAGAGATGCCAGAGGTGACATTGAAGACAGGAAGAATTTTTATCCGCAACCTAAATGCACTGATTGCGGTTCAACAGAAATTTCTCAATCCAACGCAGACTAATGATAGCGATGCCATAATAATTAGGCCTGATTAGGATTCTCTGGTGGGGACTATGTCGAAAAATTTAGGAGAGTCAATCTAGAGTACATGCATCTGTCATAATCCGCTCATCCAGTGAGGACAACTAGATAAGCTGGGTTTCAATAGAGAAGCCTCTCATGAAGCCATGCTGAAGAGGATTTTGTGGTTGATCTCTTATAGTATAGACAAGATATGCGCCAAGGAGATTGGCCTGTAGTTTTTTGTATTTTGGCGTAAACTAATATCTTTTTTCTTGAATTCAGGACAAGCAAATGACATTTTCCATTCTCTAGGGAGGTTCCACTTTCATTACACTAGAATCGCTTGAAATTATTTTCGTGCACATTTTGAAGGTAAAGTCTTCAGTGCCCGGGGTGATATTTTATCAGGGTTCGTCATAATCTCGTACCCAGATCTCCCACGGCCAAGGGAAAGGGAGAACTCTCACTTTTCAGCGTAAAGCAGAGTGAGATCTAGGTACAAGATTAGGTCCGTCATTGAGTGATGTCTTCCCTCATTCAAGAATGCCAATTGAAAGCTGACCAATGACAGAGGCAGGTGGGGTAAGCTTAAGAATCTTCGAAAGTGAAAACTGGTTAGAAGTGCTTGTTTAGAATCTCTGTGTTTTCTTCATAGTTTTTGTTGTAAATGAAAAATGGACCTCTCGACTCATTAGCCAAACTGACCTTATTTTAGAAAAAGCTGTCGGTCGCAACCTAAGTCATTTGGTTCGTTGATATTGCCTCTCGATATTGTCCATTTTTCGTGAAATTTCACAGTTACATATATACTACTACATGAGAAATTTCTACAAATTGATGATTGGCTCAGAGCGGTGGGATTTCTGCTTAACTTGAAATATCTACATGTGAAAATTACAAACCTTTTGCGGGTAGTAGTATAAACAAATAATAACATGATTTGTACGTGATATTTTCGAGCGTGGAAGCGGAAAATTGAATATTGAATATTGACTTTAGCTTTAATAGTTTGAATATTTGAAAATTTAGTTTGAATATTTGAAAATCTAGTTTGAATATGAGTAAATGTACTTGAATAATGAATCTTTAGTTTTCTGGAAAATTCACTTATTCCTTATACGAAGATCATGTGAAATATGCTCATAAAATAACCTGAGATAACCATGAATGCAGAAACACGCTGCTTTTCTATTGGATTGTGTATAATGTACATTGATGAAGCACTGTTTCGTCATGTTTTGACACTGTTTATATTTTGTTTTTATGTGACTACTCTCACTTTGAAAATTCGTTGGGGATTAGCGCCATCAGACTGGGCCAATGTTTGTAACCAGGTCAAGCCTTTTTTTACCAACGTTTACCACTTGAACAGATAATAGTCTATTGCAATGTAACTAGGAGCATGTTTTGTTTATAATTTGATATTTTCTGAACGACCTCTGCCATTAGGTAGTATACTCATTGCAAAGGAATACTTTGTGTCTTGGTAGGCTGCAATAACGGACGTGGCTCTTATAGAAAAACAATGAGTAATGAGGAAGGTCATAATTGAGAATGTCAATGGGGTTAGCGGTTAACTGATATTTGGCCAAAAAAAACAGTAGTTAACTGATAATTGGTCGAAAAAATAGTAGTTAACTGAGAAATGAAAAGTTAACAGTAAAGTGGCATTATCAAAATGAAGAAATGATCGTCGCACTGAACGCAATTTATGCAAATGCGTAAAGAAGCCTGAAAAAAAAAATGGGTAACGAGGGAGGTGACCTGCTCCCAACGTCAGTGGCTTCATAGCTCAGTTGGTAGAGCATCGCACCGGTAAATCGCGAGGTCACGGGTTCAAACCCCGTTGAAGTCCCGAATTTTTTTCAGACTTCTTTACGCAATTGCATAAATTTCGTTCACTGCGACGATCATTTCTTCATTTTCATTTCATTTCCGTAGTTGATATATCATTTATTTCATATATCATTAACCAAGTGGCATTCTATTAATTATACTGAATACTGATCGTTGATGTTTATATGTCTATATTTTCTGACTTTTTCTGTCCCGCTGATGACCCAGTGACACATTAACTGATATTACCATGTGCAAAAGGCAACAGGGTAATATCCGGCAAACAGAGAGCGTAAGTCATAGAGCTTCTTGTAGACAACTCAACGAATTATTCGTCTTCTAATACTAACAAGATTTTGGTGTTCGGAAATGGAAAATACTGTTTTCACGGACGCAAAAGATCGTCAAGTTAAGCATTACTACCCAAACAAAAAAGCTGCGACTCTTAGCATTAGATCTGGCCAAAACGAAATTCTGATGGCTCAAAGAAATCCCGTTGGGGGGGGGGGGGGTACTTCCTTGTAAGAGGCTAATGGGGATGTGCTGCTGGAGGGGGTCGCATTTTCACGACTGGATTGACTATAACAGGGGCGGATCCACGATTTTTTTTAGGAGGGGGTGCACTCGTCTCTTGCTCTACTTCAACACCAATAAACCACATAGTTCAGTTTTTTTTTTTTTTTTTGGCAGAATACCAGTTGTATTAGAAAACCGCTGGTCATCTCAGGGGGGGTGCGCACCCCCTGCACCCTCCCCCTAGATCCGCCCCTGCTATGATGGGGTTGCATTTTCCACAGAGTTACTAGAATGGGCTCGCACATTTTCGGATTTTTGGAGTAAGAAGGCTTCATATTTACGGTTAGAAAACTTCCCTATTTAAAGGATTGATAAGGTGATACATGAATAGAAAGTGACTAAGTTGGGATCGCAAAAATTACATTTGCGTGCCCAAACTGAGTGACTAAGGTGGAGTCTATAATTGGCCATAGAGTAGACTATAATGGGGTAGAAGCGCTGAGAGGCCAGTGGCACATACAAAGCAAAAATACCCCCCCCCCCCCCAACCCACCAGAAAGAAATCTGCATCTTTCTTTTAGTTACATGGAATTTGTACTCACGAGAAATAATTTTTGTAACTGATGTTGCAGTTCTAACTAATGAGACCATTAAGCCCGTGTTTAAACTGCTCGTTCTGAAGCAGTTTCATTTCTTTAAACCGTTGAATATCTTTATCACGCTTTGAAATACGCAATGCGCTTTTGAAATAAGTATTTTATTTCAAAAGCGCAAGAAAAACGTAACATTAAGGGACGCGAAATAGGATATTGACAAAGTATGTATCAAGGTACAAAAACACGCGGTTTCTCACTTCAACACAAAACATTTAGTGCTTTGAACTATGCCGAAGACTTTGGAACCACAGTGAAGGAATCGCTCAAAAGAACGACGAATTCGAAGTGGGCTACACTCACGAAAAGTCGAATTGTCCCATGTTAATAAAACTTTCATATCTTTGTCAGCCCTCTAAACTATGTCTATCCCATCGGTGCAAACAGTGACAAAAAATAGAGAACTTTCGACTTGCTTTTCAGCGAAATATATTAAAGAAGCGAATCAACTCGACATAAAGCGAGATCTTTGCCACCAGCTTCACGGGACTACGTCATGCTATTTGCTATCTTTTTTAAAAGCTAAAACTCTTTTTCTTACATCAATTGAATTCCAAAAATACTGGTCCAGTTTTGTTATCTAAGACTATATCTTGGCATTGATACTGTTTCCCGTCGTATGTTGCAATACCCTGCTTCGTCGCTTCGATCTTTCGTAGATGAGTCGCAATGGATTGCAAGGATTGAAACTTAGGCCAACAACAAGATACAGGACATACAACAACAAGATAAGTAAGAGACTGATTCAGATAATGAAAGTGACGAAGAAGATGACTTTGAAGTAGTTTATCGCAGGACATGCATGACCAGGTCGGGAAGATCAGTACGAGATCATGACTGGTGGGTCTGGATGTATGAGGCTGGTACGGTCATATTGATGGTTATACGACTTAATCTAATTTGTACTTACAGCAAACATCGATTAACAGGGGTCTTATTAGCTATCGCTTACCAATTTTACTTCTTCGGTTAGATAATTATGTTCTATTCTATATTTTCAGCTACTTATAAATTGTACTTGTTGCTGAGTTTATGCGAATTCGTGTAAATTTATCCCTTGATTTCATCAGGGTCTACCCCCAAAAGTGATAGACGTGCTGAAGTAAAGAAAATTCGGGTTATGACGGAATGATATTCGCTGTAGGAACGTGAAAGTTAATAGCTAACCAAAATTAGTAGCTAACTGAGAATTGGCCAAAAAATACTAGTAGTTAACTGATATTTGGCCGAAAAATTAATTTAGCAGTTAACTGCGAATTGGTTATCCCCATTAGCACCCTCATAATTGTTGAAATAATGAATTTAAGATAAATATGGAAGCCTGAATATTGAGGTTTGAATATTGAATGTTGATGTTGGAATATTGAATATTGACAGTTTGAATACAAAATATTCCGCTTCTACCCCCGAATATTTGGCATAAATACCACTCGTGATATTTCAAAATTGTCTCAAATTTCACTCGCCTCACAGCTCGCGAAATTACGTGTAACAATTTCGAAATTTATGCCAAATATTACTACAAATCTTAATCATGCTATTACCTAGACAAACGGCTTTCAAATAGATCTAATCCCGTTTTCCTGCGGGCCAGGAAGATTGGGAACGAATTTTTATGACCGGAAGTGAAGCCCAAATTTCTCGGAAAAGACGAACGAAGACGACAAAGCCTGTTTCTGATACGGCGCAGCAAAGACGAAAAAGTATTTCTCCTGGTGGAAAATGAGTAACCAGCGGCCGAATTTAAATAATTTTCTTAATTGGTACACTGAACGTAATGTGAAAATAAGACGAGACATGAAAACGAAAGCTTTGGAATGCTGGCAGCCAATTGTAAAAGAGATTGTGACTACGTGAAGAGAACAGATGATCGTTTCGCCTCTCTGCGTACTTTCCCCACCGGGAGCTATTACGAAGGAACCAAATGTAGCGTGGGGCCTGAGCCCGAGTTGGGTCGGTCATGCGCAGTTTAAGAGACCCACGACTCGTGTAACTGTTGTGCTAGTTTAGTAAAGTGATTCGAACGCTAGCTGTGTTAGTTTTGTTACATTTGGTGGCAGCGGTAGGATTTTTGCCATGGAAGATACCGTGAAAGCTTTAGAAGAGAAAGTAGCGCTCCTCGAGGCCAAACTTGGAAAGAAAAGTGAAAGAAAGGCTGGTGCAAGCGGCAGTTCACCGACCACGTCGCCAGAAAACCCGCTTTGCATCAAACCGGAGAGCTTCTCTGCGACGTCCAGCGAAAGTTGGGTGGTTTGGATACGGAAATTTAAAAGTATTGCAGCCCTTAACAAGTGGAGTCCTGAACTTCAATGTCAAATATTACCCACGTACCTGAAAGGCCTTGCCGAACAGACCTATTACAGCCTGACTGCCGAACAAACAGCCACGTGGACAGCCGTTGAACGCGCTCTGACAGATCGATTTCATCCTAAGGAATCTCGTCAGGTACACATTTCCGCTCTACGAGCCAAATTAAGACGTCCTGACGAAGATCTACATCAACTGAGGTGCGACATTTCTCGTCTTGTGGAGCTGGCCTATCCGGATGACCCCCCGGATATACTCAATCGCACGGCCAGAGATTTCTTCGTGGGTGCTTTGACCCCTATTATATTGCGAGAGAAGGTGTTGGATTTGGGGCCCAATAATTTGGATGAGGCCCTATACCGGCAGCTCAGCGCTATGAATCAAATCAAAAAATGCTAAACAAGGGAAGTGCTCGAGTACTGTCTTCAACATCCGGGGAGCAAGAACAGTTAGGCTCCCAACAGGGCACCCAAGAACCCCCAGCGTGGGCTAAGGAGCTTTTTCAGCAGCAAGCTGAAATCTTAGAGAAGCTGAAGAATATTCCTCAAGGGAGGTAAGGTAGGAATGAAGGTGTAGAACCTGGACAAGGCCCCAGAGCATGTTTTAAGTGCGGTAGCCTGTCTCATTTTATTCGTGAATGTCCACATCAAGTCCGTCCCGACCAGGGAAACGGGAGATGGGCGGGGCGCAGCCGAAAGTGACCGCCCGAGAATCCAAAGGGAGCATTTTTGCCTTGTCATGTCAATGGTGTTAAGTCCCAAGCCTTATTAGACACAGGTGCAGAAGTAAGAATTATCAGTGAAGACCTATACAGTCGCTTCAAGACACATATAAACAAACTTGAGCCCGCACTGAAGCCTGTCCTGGGGGCCAACAATATGCCACTTGATGTGGTTAGAGAAACAGAAGTAACAATTCAGCTGGGCGCAATCAGGGCTAAGCATAAAGTGCTGGTGTGCCGAGGCTTGGCATAGCAAGTGTTGATTGGTATAGATTTTCTAACAGCTCACAAATGTATCATTAACTTTGACACTAACACTGTCTACAGTAAGGAGGGACCCAACGGAATGGTTTTTGGATGCCTTGATAGAGTTTACAGGATCACTGTGGCCGAAACCGTCACATTATCTCCAAATATGGTCGCAGACATACCTTGTGAGGTCCAAGGGGTAGATGACTTAGACGAATGTATGGCTGTACGGACAAGTTTTCAGAAAGATATTCAGCTGGGGCCTTTCGGACGGCCGTGACTGTGAAAGGAGGTCGAATCCCAGTTCGTGTGTTCAATTACCTTATCAAGCCCCTCAAGATTTACAGGTGTAGCAGTATGAGGGACCTCTACCGATTAGCTGGCGAGGTGGAATCACAGGAGGAAACCAATGCGGGTGTGGGCTACATGGTGGTACCCACTGCGGCCTCAAAGGAAGATGTTGAGGTTGGATTGGAAGCTAAACAGTGTGGTGCGGTTTTTGTGGGGGATGCTGACGTTCACAGTTTATTGGTAGAAGAGATGTTCCCGATCAGCAGCGATTTGGTCCCGGAAGAGGAAAAACTTAGGAATTATGAGGTCTTCTCCACTTACGCTGACTGCCTTTCAAAGGGGCCGTGGGATTTAGGTACTGCAAAGGGCGTACAACATACCATCGACATAGGCTCTTCCAAGCCAATCCAGGTACCGCCACGAAAAGTTCCCTTTCACAAAAGACAAGAAATGCGCAACCAAGTGGATTAAATGCTCGAAGCAGAGATCATGACGAGCTTTGAAGCGCGAAAAAATTTTATGCAAATTAGCTGGCTGCACATTCAATGTGCAGCCAGCTAATTTGCATAAGTAATTCAAAACCAAGGTTTGACAGCTCTAGGCTCTTGAGGTGTTACCTGAATACCCTAGGACTTCCGTAAATTGCCCACAAAAGAGTAACCCAAGCTACCATAAACTGAAATGAAAGTAACCGCAATATCCGATTAAAGCAAGGTTTAAATCTTTTTCTGCTCGGCTAACTCTCTTCCGAGACACTTGCTATTTTGGTAATAATAAAACGCCATAAACATTTTACATTGCGCCTTTTTCAGTCTCGGGCAGTAAGTTATAGTATGAAATGGAGGTAAACTCAAGAATTCAGTTTTGTGACTGCCCTGCAACTTTGAAACTATTTAAGCCGCTTCCTAAAAGGCCGGGAAAATGTTTTTCGTATACGCTACCCAGGATACTACAGGAATGATTAGAGCATTTTTACGAGTTAACTGTAGATTTCAGGTATACACTACCCAGGATACTACAGGAATGATTAGAGCATTTTTGCAAGTTAACTGTAGATTTCAGGTATACGCTACCCAGGATACTACAGGAATGATTAGAGCATCTTTACGAGTTAACTGTAGATTTCAGGTATACACTACCCAGGATACTACAGGAATGATTAGAGCATTTTTGCAAGTTAACTGTAGATTTCAGGTATACGCTACCCAGGATACTACAGCATTGATTAGAGCATTTTTTGAGTTAACTGTAGATTTCAGGTATACACTACCCAGGATATCTGCAACGCAGATAACAAAAGCTCAGGAAACAAGGGGACCCTGCATGACCCAGCGAGGCTGCTTGTCTGCGAATTTTTTTTGAGAAAACAGCTGACTCTCTCGAGTGTTGAACTAGAACAGAATAATCCAGAATTATAATTTTAAACATCATTGCTACTGATATAATTATTAAGTTTTCTTACCTGTCTGGAGTCTCTTCCACTGATGTCAATGATCTGGGCGCCAAACAAACGCGCGCGGTACATATTTCCCGCCACAAATAATTAAAAGCACTTTCATGAGACGGTGATCAAAATGCAAAAGCAAAATAGGAAAGCCGGCGCCAAATTGCTAGAGGCTAGCGATCGTTTGTTGGGCGGCGTGTGATAGAGTGAAACTGACAAAATATCGAGAAATCTGGACAGAATCTTTTTGTAATACATTATCAAAAATTATGTGAAATACATCATCAGAGAACACGTGCGAAAAAAATAATTTCGGCTCGATATTTTTTCTCGGTATTTTTCATCGACAAAAAACCGAAACATTAAAAATCACGACTTACCATCAATTACTCGGCTAGACAAAGCTAAACTTACCAAAGTCGATAACCAAGTAAGGATTTCCTACAGAAATAATTTGCCACTCTCGTTTAGCAGTGTAGTGGTCGAACTTGACGTAGGTTAAAACGGATTCGTTTTGCCGGCATCTTCCCGTTAAATTAAAGTAGATTTAACACTTGCCAGGAGTAATTAGAAATCTAGCCATTTTGCTCATAGCTTCGCAAATGCAACCAGCTTTATGCAGTAAAGCGACAGAAACTTTAGCGAAATATTCACACGCGACAGTCGCGACAACCGCAGTAAATCTAACAAATGAAACAAGATGCTGAGAGAAAAAAAGGGCTTCATTGATTGTTTCCGGCAGGCGGTGACAAGTAATGTACGAGATTAGAAGACCTCCTGGTCAGAATTTTTTTTGTAGCCTAAGCCCGTCATGTAGAACCGTCTGATTCCCCTTGGTCGTCTCCGGTGGTTTTAGTAGCGAAACCTGATGGCAGTCAACGTTTCTGTGTGGACTACCGCGCCCTTAACTCGGTAACCAAGCGAGAATTGTACCCGCTTCCTTGGTGTGATGACATATTGGAGAGTTTATCGGGGGCACAGTGGTTTTCTCATCTCGACCTCCTTAGGGGATATTGGCAAATTGATGTGGCAAAGGAAGATCGGGAAAAGTACAGCGTTCGCAACTCCGGATGGTCTTTACCAATTCCGTAAACTAAGTTTTGGCCTTACGAATGCACCTGCATGTTTTATGAGGGCTATGCACCTTATCTTGAAGGGCTTATGCTGGTCAGACTGTCTAGTGTATCTAGATGATATCATTGTCTTTGGTCGAACACTACAGGAGCATAGGGAGAGACTGTCACTTGTCTTGTCACGCTTGACAGAAGCAGGCTTGAAGATTAACCCCAAGAAATGCAAGCTCTTGTGTGAACAGGTGGTTGTGTTAGGTCAGGTCGTGTCACGGGAGGGCATATCTACTGATCCAGAGAAAATAAGAGTCATAAAGGAGTGGCCGGAGCCAGTTGATGAGAGTCAGCTGAGAGCGTTCTTGGGGACGGCTGGTTACTATAGACAATTTGTGCCAAACTACGCCCAAATTGCATCCCCTTTGCACCGCGCTTGTCAAAAGGGGGACCGTTTCAGATGGACAGCCGAGTGCGAGGAAGCTTTCCAGGACATCAAGCACAGATTGTCGAGTGCTCCCATCCTGGCTTTTCCCCAGCTAGACGTACCGTTCATCCTGGACAGTGATGCCAGTGACAGTGGGCTGGGGGCGGTGTTGCCGCAGTTTCAATGAGGGAAAGAACGTGTAATAGCATACACAGCGCGTGCTCTATCAAAGGCTGAAAGGAACTATAGTACCACCCGCAAGGAGCTGTTGGCCCTCGTGTGGGGAACGGAGCACTTCGAGACATTCTTTTACGGGCGACGTTTTCTGGTCAGGACTGACCATAATGCTCTGCAGTGGCTACGGAACTTTAAAAACCCTAGAGGCCAGGTGGCTAGGTGGCTTGATAGGCTTAGTGACTTCGATTTCGAGGTGGAACATCGTCCGGGTCAGTTGCACGGCAGTGCGGATGGACTGTCCCGCCTTCCCTGGGACGAGAGTGCATCGGTTAAGGTAGAGAGGGACGCCACCCTGATTCAGTCTGTGAATATGGAACCCATGTCGAGAGAAAGTATACGTGCAGCCCAAAACCAAGATCCTGTTCTGTCGCAAGTTGTGAGGTGGCTTGAAACTGGTGTCAGACTCGCTAGAGGCGATGTGGAAGGAGGGGGGCGCAAACTTTTGTCATACTGGTCACAATGGAGAAGGCTGTCTCTCAGGGACGGTCTGGTGTTTAGACGTTGGGAACACGAAGTGACAGGCGAAGAGATTTATCATCAAATCTGCTTGCCCGAGAGCGTCGTGTCACAAGTGTTGTGCGCCTTGCACAACAATCCTTCAGCAGGCCACCTTGGCGTGTCGAAGACTCTAGAAAAAGTGCGGAGGAGATTTTATTGGCATGGCATTGCGGGAAGATGTCGAAATGCACGTGAGAAGGTGTGTCCCATGTGCTACAGTCAACGACCCCTTATAAACATTAAGGCAGGGCACCCCCTACAAAGGGTTGCAATAGACATCGTAGGTCCCACACCAAGATCTACCTCTGGCCATGAGTGGTTGCTGGTGGTCTCCGATCATTTTACTAAGTTTGCTCAAGCCTTCCCAGTGAGAAACACCTCAGCAGTCACGCTGGCGAAGAAGGTGATGGATGAATACATATGCCGTTTCGGGTGTTTCGAGGGGCTGCATTCTGATCAGGGAGCCAATGTGGCTGAAGCTGTATTCAAAGGTCTGTGCGATTTAATTGACGCAGCGAAAACAAGGACAACGCCCTACCATCCCCAAGGGGATGGGTAGGTAGAGAGACTGAACAAATCTCTGGTGAAGATCCTTAGTAAGCTGATTTCTGACCATCGCCGAGACTGGGCGGACTTTGTGCCGAAAGCAGTTCTTGCTTACAACACTATTGTGCATGAGTCGACGGGATTTACCCCTTATCGCTTAATGTTCGGCAAGGAAGCTATTCTGCCATTGGATGCTCTCCTTAGGCTTGAGACAACACCTTCCCAAGGGTCGGCACGGACATACCCCGATTATGTTGTTGAGTAGAAGCAGCACTTGGAAGAGACGGAGCAGGTAGGGAGAGAGAAACTCAAGCGAGCGCAAAGGTCCCAGAAAGCTTATTATGACACCAAGTGCCATGGTCAGCGGTTCCGTGTAGGAGACCGGGTTTGGTATAGAAACCGAACCAGGACGAGAAGGAAGAAATTCCTCAAACCCTGGTGTGGTCCTTGGAAGGTGGTGAAAGCTCTATCTGATGTTACCTATCGCATTGAAGAGGAGAGGCGGAAGCCGGGAAAACGTCGTCAGAGGAAGGTGGCCACTTCAATTATCTGAAGCCATGCTTTTCGCCACCTGAAACCCACGAGAAGCCCTCACAGTTAACCTCTTCAAGCCATGCGGAAGATACGCCACAAGGGGAGAACCTGAGGGACGGGCAGCAACCGTCTCGAGGAACCTTAGTTGACTCTGGAGATGTCGAACTGGAATGGCTGGAAAATCCAGTTGCTACAGTCACAGAAGTTTCTCATCCCTTCCAGGAGCGTGAATATAGTGGTGAATCTAGTGGTACATTAAGTACATCCCCTCGAACTGCTGACCTGCCGTGTCAATCTGAGGTTTCTCAAGTGAGTGATGAACCGCGTCGTGAACCGTGTCATGCTGCGAGGCCGAGACGTGAGTGAAGGGAGCCTGTCTGGCTACGAAACTATGTTAGAACAGTGTTGTTTACCCAACCTGGCCCTTGAACTTTGTAGGAACATTTGCATGCTTAAGTTAAAAATTCTCTCTTGTACTTCGGACCTTATGTGGGAGGGGGTAGTGTAGCGTGGGGCCTGAGCCCGAGTTGGGTCGGTCATGCGCAGTTTAAGAGACCTACGACTCGTGTAACTGTTGTGCTAGTTTAGTAAAGTGATTCGAACGCTAGCTGTATTAGTTTTGTTACACAAAGTTAAAGAGCCCAACGAGTTTGATTTGATGCTGGTCATGGAGGATTTACCTGTTCGTTATATTGGTTACAGAATCAGAGGAACCAGTTTTTTACATAAACGGCCTGATCAGTTATATCGGTGACATGAACGCTGGAAACAGGGCAACAGATTATACACCATTGGGTGAGTACATCAGGTTTATTCGCTTTTTTCAATTCACCAAATTAATCACGTGTTTTCCATCAACTAGCTTTTCCAACCGTGTCTAGTTAGGCAACGAACAGTTGAGTTAGCGAACACTGCACGGGCCATATCCACTAATATCCTCTATGATTTGTCACATCTTGTTTTAAAACATGGGTGTAAACTGCGAGATAAAAAAGCGATAGCGCCTTTTAGTTAAAACTATCATTAAGCCAAATCAGGGATGTCAAGTCACATCGACTAATAGCTTTTGCTTTCAGCGAAGCGCTTTTATATAGAACCGCACCCAATAACAACGTAAACGTCCATAGATATATAGTACAAAATTAATATAGCCCCAATTATGAGCCAATTATAGTATGTCGAATGTAAGTCGACCTTGTCACGGTTTTGGAAGCCATCTTGACGGCTAGGTTGAACCTCGTGAGAAATTACGTATACAGTGTTTGTATGATAATCTAATGTCGAAAAATATCCGTAAAATGGCTGTTCTGAAAACAATATGAATTGTGAACTAAAGCTAGCTACAAAGCAAAGGATTGTACAACAAAAATCTTGGGGGCGAACCTGTGCTTAAATTTCTCCAGAGGCTTGTTTTGGATTTTCCACATATTTGTCTTTAATTTTTCCCGGGGCTTTCTTACAGACTGCATATGTATACAATATGTATAGAAATTCTAAAAAAATTGATTTTAGGTCTTCTAGTGCATGTGACGCCCTCACTTTTTTTCAGTAAAATCCTCAGGAGTAAAACTTTAGTTTACAATTCGTATTTTTTCCAGAACAGCCGTTTTACGGAAATTATTCGACATTAGATTCTCATACAAACTCTGTAATTTCTCACGCGGTTGTCAAGATGGATTCCAAAACCGTGACAAGGTCTTTCACCCAGGACACTGATAAAACGTACCTAAAAGCGTACCCCCGGCCGTTATAAATAAAACGATGTGTCCACTTTCTAAGCAACGCGTTTTACACATCGGAATTCCATCGTGTTCTTTTATCTAAGAGTTAAATTACATTTAAGTCTTTAGTACTTTTAAACTACCAGACAAAATTATAGTTCCAATTAAACCTTGTGACATGTCTTTAAATGAGGTTATGTTCCTTATTTTTTTGTGTGTGTTTAGGATTCGTTCGAGTATTCATCAATAATGAAGCTAACCGTCTTAAGTGGAAGCGTGATAGCTGTCTCACACAGGAAATGTTAAACGCTTCACAAGTTAAAGCAGTGTTAAGAAGGCTTGTTGGCGAAGCCATTGTAAATCTGGGTTTTAATCCAAGGTAAGCAAACAAGACTCTTTTAAACAGAGCCGGACAAGCATTCGCGCATTAAAAAAATATATATGGCTCGAGAAAAGCCATGGCGCGCAGAACGCGTCTTCTCTTTCCTTGTGTGCAATAGTCTCGTACCACTGTAGAGCTCTTCTGAAACTACGCGATTATGCGCGCGTCTCATCGTCCTCCTTTGGTTGGCTAATATTAAGCTATTAAGCAGTCTCATTAAGCTATCTCAGTTTCCCATAGCTTTAAACAAGAGACAACATAGTAGCCATGGGCCTTTCTCAAAAATGTAATCCGCCTCGTGTTCGAGTATAACCATTAAGAAAAAACGGCAAAAGCTGTACGTCAAGAAGGAAAAAACGAGGATTCTTCCTTTTTTACAGATTGCTAAATTACAGCGTTTTAGTTCAGGCTTTCCCTGGTCGTTGCTAGTTTGCTCTTATTCCTCCGTTTTTGCCTTTTGCTGGGAGTTTATTAGGCTTTTATTTGTTCACCGGAAAAAATTGTTCATCCCACTTTGTTGTGAAAGATACATGTTTTTTGTCGTTTTTCCCTCAGGCCGGCTAGATTAAGCCGCCAACAGTTGGTTATCGATTGAAAGATCTATTTCTCTTGTATAAGTTGGTTGTTAAAGTCGTCTACGACAATTAAAAGTTTCGAAGTCGATGCCGAGCAGAATAATGAATAAGGGATTTGAACTGAACTATCAAATGAAAAAAACACGAATATTTTGGGTTAAAACATCTCGAATTATGAAAACCACATGGTGAAGCAAAGAAAAAACTCTTTGAACCATGGTGGGGATTGAACTCATGGCTACTGTGGCTGATCCCACTAAGCGAGATGACCTGTTGGGGACAGGTCAGGGGATACCATTATGGTAGTGAATGGCGGCAAAGAGGAAATGAATGTTACTTTATTGAGCCGAGCAGCACTTGTAACTCAAATGATAGAAGAGAGAGTTAACTTAGCATTTAAATTTAACAGTCACGCATAATCTCAGAAATTCCCACTGAGCGTTCGCGGGAGCATAGCGAATGAGGGAGCTCAGCTTGAGATAAGAAATTATTTTTAAAATCTCGGTGCTAGTCAAACCCACGACCTCCGAATTTGACACTGACAATAAAAAGACGAATTCCTTCCCTGCTAATTCCCATCTTCAGATTTGTTGCTGTTAAGTCACATGGTCCAGCAATCACCCTGTACATAACCAACACAAATGATGGCACAAAGTATTCTGAGGACTTGACCTTGGCTATCAAATTCATTGACTGGCCCGATGAAGCTATTGAGTGGATTACAAGGCGACCGGGACCTAGCCTGGGTTTCTCCCGAGGTAAGCACAGTTTACGTAATCTCCCGTAGCAAAAGGTATTCTGGTGAATTCCCTGTCGCTTTATTTGTGTTGAGTAAAAGAGTGACTTTCTCCTTATATGTTTTCACTTTCATGCTGCTAATGATTCGGTAAATGTAGATAGTCCCCCCTATACATACTCTCAGTTCTACGGAAGTTCGTTGCCCCTCTGAGGATCCCCCCAGATAATTACTGGGATTATCGTTTGAGCCATGCAGATGCAGAAACTCATGTTCACAGGGAGAATGCTCGTTTTATCGGTAACAATTGTTGTTATTTTTCTACTTGGTAATTTAGGTTGGCCTAATTCACTGCTCTTACAAGAAATTCGTGACGGTGGTTGTCATCTTGTTGCTAAACAACCAAAAGGAGACAACGTTCCAGAAGATGAAAACGGAATTTTCTGGAGATTTTCTTTCTCTGCAGCTGAAAAAAAGCTGTTTCTCCTCGAAGGCCATGGTGAAGCCAGCCCTTGCCGCAAACAGGTTTTAAGAATTTTGAAGGCCCTGAGAGAGGAGTTGCATCTTCATCCATTGACATCATATCACCTCAAAACCATCTTGTTACACGAATGTGAAGCTTATCCACATCCAAACCAATGGAGGTATGATAGTTTAAGTGGGAGATTCCTTAGCTTTCTGCAGAGACTGGAAGACTGTTTGAGACAGTTCAACTGCCCTCATTACTTCATCGCACATTTAAATTTGTTCGAATTCTTCGGTCGCCAAAGGTGTGATGAATTGGCTAAAAAAGTAAAGGAGATAATACTTCATCCAGAGGTCTTAATAAACCTTATCAGGTAAAATAAGCAAAATTTAAGATCAAGGTAATTCTCATGACCAGAAAAGCTTGAATAAGTTCCAAGATATTTACCTGGAGCTCATGTGAAGCTAGCAGTTTATTCTCACGGTAAACCACAGACTTTGGTTTCCACGCTAGATTATTACCAACACATAATTGCCTGATCGATAGTAACTGAGTAGACGGTGACGAAAAAGCCGAGGATTGCGTGACGACGCGAATATCCCCTCAACAGGATAAATCAAAAATATCAACTCCAAGACAGTTATGACTCTTGTGTTATATATAGACCTGCAGAATGTTTACTCTATACCTTGGGAATTGGGAACTCCTTATAGGTACTGTTTACACCCCTATTCCTTAGCCAGCGAAATGAGCCGTCTCTCCACGCTCCTCGTTGCTAGGGACGTTCCGTTGTTGTTTTTATAGCCCACTATACTATAATCTAGATTCTTGTTTTTATAGCCTAGTAAATTTTATTAGGTTCCTTACAAAATGCTTCCTTTATTTTTTGACCACGTGATGATAAATAATTTTGTAAATAGATTTTTATCGGTGATATCCTAAATGCAATATAATAAAGTTATCTTTCTTAGCTGTTAGGCTGTACAAGACAGCAAAAAGGTCATAAAAGCACGTTATTTCATGTAAGCATAGCCAAGCTTTAGTTACCAGTGGTATTACAGTTCATAAGTTAGTTGACTGATTGTCAATTACAATGGAGTACAAGCGTTATGTAAATTTTGAATCATTAGGAGAGCGTTATGAAACCGGAATCCACAGGGTGAAATCCAGAATCCAAAACTTTCTTGGATAACCTTACAGAAGCGAGCCTTCCTTCCCGAATATTTAAGGTTGCTCCGTCTCATTAATACAGGTGCATTCAGCTGTGACGAAGTTTTCGTCATAACTTTTTCGTTTTCAACGCGATGGCTGAGAAACTTTGCTAAGAACAACAGATATCATTCGGTAATAGTACGAAATATTCTGATTTCATTGATGGTAAATATATATGTTTTGCTAAATTAGCGCTTAGAAGGACCTTACTGTTCAAAGAAAATCGCGTCTAGTAAAAAAATTGCTGATGTTTTTTACTGAAATTTCTGGTATCGGCTTTAATTGCGTTCGAGGTACGAGAACGCAACCCCTAATTTGTGTTGGGTGTTTTGTGCATTATTGGGTGTCCTGTGCAATTAATAAGGGAGGTTTTTTTGAGATTGCATTTTCAGCATTCTCGTCGTCGACACACATTTGCCTCGCTTTGAGGCGATTGCCCACGTTTTCAAAGGTTTTCAGTCTGAGGTCTGATATTCGGTCTTCGTAAAGCGTTGATCTTTTAAAAAGTTTGCTGAATCTTCGTAGAGCGTACTTCGATCTGTGTTTGCTGAATCGTCCAAAGCGTTCATCTTTCAGAAGTTTACTGTTAAATTTTAATTTGGATTAAGCCTTCATATTTTGCAACATGGTTCGTCACTGTCTTTGGAAAATGTCTGCGACTCCTGGTGCATACATCAAGGCGGGTTTAGTTCGGCGGCCGTTGTGCCACAAAGTAAATTTACCGAGTTGTGTAGCTCGGCGGCCGTTGTGTCACAAAGTAAATCTACGGAGTTGTGTAGCTGGGCAGCCGTTGTGTCACAAAGTAAATCTACGGAGTTAACGCTTACGCGGATGATAATCAGGTATACTACTCCCACGTCGATCCGGCAGCTCTAGATGCATGCGTATCTCATGATGTTGGCGTGGCCAATCAGTGGAACCATGAAAATGGGATGTTAGTTAACGAGAGCAAGCACCAGTGTCTAATCCTTGGTGATACGGAGTATGGTTTTTCCTTACCAGTAAAGGACACGTTAGAGATTTTTGGAATGGAAATAGATAATAAACTGAATTTTTCTAAACATATATCAAATGTATGCAAAAAGATTAATAAGCAATTTAATGTTATGTTGCGCTTTAGAAAACTCATACGAAAGGAAATCTTATTCAAACTTTACAAAGCGTATATTTTACCTCACTTTTATTATTGCTCCTCTGTCTGGCACTTTTGTGGAGCGCGCGATGCGGATAAGCTTGAAGCTTTAAATAAAAGAATGCTTAGATTTACACTTGGAGATTACTCGTCTCCATACAACACTCTTCTCTCAAAAGTCAGCTCTACTTCTTTGTTTCACAAACGCATTCAAAATTTCCTCATTCTGTTATATAAGAGTTTGTTTTTCACTCATTTTCCTACTTATACTCTAAATTAAAATGCGAGTATAAATAAAGTTTTATGTTATGTTATGAGTTGTGTATAGCTCGGCGGCGCCATTGGATCATGACTTGTGATACTTTCGGCACCGGACAAACGAACACTTTAACTCTGTTATTTATTAGGAAAAACTTGTAAACCAGCCCACAGTAGCGCCACTCTCGAGTTACTGAAATCAACACGCTCGACCAAATTACTGGAAAAGTTATTGACGTGAGCCTCACACACATTCCATTGAAGGCTTTGACAGGGTTAGTGCGAAGTTTGAATTCAGATGTGAAAGCTTTTAAAGCAGTAAATTCAATGTAATTCATTTTGTCAACAAGTGGACGATTGGATGGTCTTAAAAATAACAGAGAAAATTATCCGAAGAAATGTTTTGGAAGAAAGAAAAAGAATCCCGGGTTAAGCACTGTTCGGCCCTTGAGCAACTGCGCCGCTCTGTAACTCGCGCCAGTAAAACAAAATGTTCTATTTACACGCCCGACGCACTCGCGGTGACAAGCACTTGACACCGAACCATAAGATATCTTTTCAAAACCTTCTTATAATGATACACAGTTTAAATAGAGGTTTCGCTGTACGCAACCCTTACGTTCAAAATATGCCATAATCATATTTATCTATATCGCAACCACCCTTCCCCCTCAACTGCTACTTGTACGCCTAACAAACATATCGAACGCACTCTCCTAAGCTCTGATTACTCCTAGTTGATATATAAATATGCCAGAGGAATTTCAGAAAAATCGTTCGAGCAGAAGTCCGTAACTAAAAGTCGCTCAAAATTCAGCTGTGAAATTGTTTTGCAATTTCAAAAATAAATTGCTATCAGGTAGTAGGAGACACCAGTTTGAATTTTCGGACAAGTAAATTCAATGTTTGCTAATTCTTAAAACAAAAGCCGATTGCCTATCGTGCTATTCTTTAACAGGTACTTTTTAGTTTTAGAAGTACTATAAATTGCTCCAAACCTTGCTCTGAGGTAGAATGACTTGTTCCTCGACTTTTTTAAAATATCCCTTGGCAGTTTTGGTTCAAACTCCTGCTACATACATTTTGATGCATTGCAATGCATCCTCAACGGCTTTTCCCTGCTGTACGTTGCTTCCAATTCAGGAAAAAGGTAGTGGGATTATAAGCTACCTTGTATCGAAGCTCAGATAGAACTGTCCAGCACTTTGAAAAGCAAGGTTCTTTTAAGTGCTAATTTCTCAAGAAATATTTACCATCAATGAAATTGAAATATTTCACATTATTACCGAATGACTTCTGTTGTTCTTTGCAAAGTTTCGCAGCCATCGCGTTAAAAACGAAAAAGTTATGACGGAAAATTTGTCACAGCTAAATGCTCCAGTATTAATGACGGAGCAACCTTAAGTCTTGAAGTTCAGATCACGCGAGCTTTGCGTGTTTGAGTACTTTTTTTTGTTTGCGATTATTTCCTTTTTAAGTGCTTTTGACCCTCTACTATTTCAACGCGATTCTTAACCTTTATCAAAACAAACGTGCGTACGTTACTAAAATGAAGAAATCAACAGAAATGAAACGTATTTATGGTGCTAAGTGTCGACAGGGACAAAAGTTCTGTTCTCTCCTGCCAAGAGTTATCCCTGGTTATTTTGTATTCATTCATTTATTTAGTTGATTAACTCTATTCACAGGAAAATTGGTTGGTCTAAACTAAACTTAAACCTTTGCTTTTACGTATAACATATCTTTGTTTTGACAAAAGGAGCAACTTTTATCTCTTGGGTCCAGACTTCTCCCATACTGAAATTTAACACACATCATAGTTAGCATAGCGTTCCCACAACAGTTACAAGCAAAACTTTTCCATAACATTGACACTTCAGCTCTAGATCCTAAGAGAGTAAATTCTAAGAGCTGGACAATTCTTGCCTTTGTGACTTATTCACCTCCCTGGTGGAAATAGACTCTGGTCCTTGATCTTGTAGCATCTTTTCAAGACTCCGGGGTTCGTTTTGTTCCAGCTGCAAGTCATATTTGCCAGAAATAAATAACAGTATTGCATCTATTAACCAAATTCTAGCATTTATCTCGGTTACGGTGTTCTCAGTGACAACAAGATTGTATTCCTTGAAGAAGAAGGAATTCACACATCCAGATTTGATGTTCTTCTTTAAGAGTTCAAATATTTGCAACAACCTGGTGACGGCGTTACCTCTCTCCCATTCTTCGTCCGCTGGAACTCTTGCCAGTTCATACAGAAATGCAGTTTTCAAAAGATAGGTGTGTACATAATATGCACAAGATCCAAGTCCATCTGTATCAGGCACTTGTCCACTGCGTTGTAGAAGGACCTTTCCAAGAATGTATGTGTTCCTCTTACACTCAGCTACTCCTCGAAGGATCTTCGTTTCCAGTTTGGAAGTAGAGATGCGCCAAACTACGTTTTCAAAGGAATGTGTAGCATGCCTTGAGATGGGTTTTGGGATTAGATACAGTGTGGATAAACTAGTTTCCAAAGCAGCTTCCGAGTCTTCCATTCCTGACAAGACGTCTCGCGATTGGGTGGTGTAATTCAGTGAAACCTCGTTATGATAGGCAAAGGGCAGAGTAGGAATCACGTCAGCTGTTATCTGCATACCTGTGTACGATCCCCGTCTCCATTCGAAGTGCAAAATAAAACCCGGTTTGATTTCACTGACTATTCTATGTTTACTACTGTTTGGCAAAACTTCCTGGAGATAAAAGCGAATTTCTTGTGGAACCTTGACCCTCTTAGATAAGAATACATCTTCAATCAAGCTGAAGAGACAGGCTTTGATTCTCTGCGGGAAGAGATATTTACCATCCTTTAACAAGTCTCTCACGAGTTCACTGTCCTTGCCTTTTTTAAATGCAACTTTGCAGTAGCCTGGCGTGTCGTCAGGGGTATAGAATGGTGCAAAGTGTTCAGCTAAGGATGGCAAATAGAACATGAAGTCGAACTCGTTGGGCTCCCCAACTTTGCAGGATTCAGCATTACCCCCTGATAAGGTGACTTCACAAGCGAAATGTGGGTCAGCTTCTCCAACAGCTTTCATTAATTCTTTTATGAAAGCAGTTACAACGCGGATAATATGACGGGCCTGATTTGATTGTGGAGTCCTTCCAATACCATCTGTATCTAAGACTGTCGTTAAATACCTTGGCAGAGTCACGGAATGAGTTTGTTCACTTTTTTTGACAGGTTGCGTAGTTGCCTGAAGTTCTGATAAAAGTTTTGACACATCAGGAGAACCTCTCCGACAGCAGATGTTGCAAATTGATTCACCATTGCACGTCATGTTATGATCTGCGCCAGCATGGAGAAGGCTCTGGACAACTGTTTTATGACCATTGAAAGCAGCCAAGTGCAAGGGTGTTATGCCATCACAATCCACTGAATCAATTTTGACCCCTTCTTGTTTGCAGAAAAGCTTAACCAAGGCATCGTATCCTTTTCCTGATGCAAGATGTAAGGGAGTAGTTCCATTGCAATCACTCGAGTTCACACCTGCACCATTTTGTAACAAGGTTTCAGCTTTCTAGACACAGTTTAATTCTGCAGCAAAATGTAAAGGCGTTTCTCCATGTGCAGATACCTCGTTTACAGATGCACCCAAATCAATCAACAACATAACAGAGTCATCTAGGCCATCTATTGTTGCGATATGCAAAGGGGTCAAGTCATCGCAAAGAGTCTTGGCCTCTAGAAATGCACCATTTTGAATTAGCATTCTTACAATTTCATTATTTTGACCAAATATGGCACGATGAAGTGGTGTTGCATGAGATGCATCTTTAAAAGTGACATCTGCACCAAGGCTGATCAACTGATCTACCATTCCAATCTTCCGGTTTAATACAGCATGATATATAGGTGCATGTCTTCCAGGCTGGGCTTGAGAGTTTACACAAACACCTGCCTTGACAAGAAGCCGCACGACATCCGGGTCGTCACCATAGGTGGCGCAGTGAAGGGCTGTCTCACACTGACCAATGTCGTCAGGACACTCAGACAACTGGTTTTGATTGTGACCACGTTGCAGGAAAAAGTCCACTATTTCGTACTGTCCATAGTATGTGGCACAGTGGAGAGGAAAATAGCCCATTTCATCAGGACCATGTTCATTGGCACCAAATGAAACCAAAAGCTCAATAATGGGAAGATTGGTGGGCTCGAGACGTATGGCCTGATGCAATATGAAGTGGGTTGCTCCAGGAAGCAAATCTATTCAGTGTAGTAGGTCTTGAAACATCAGTCACTGCCCCACCTAGGAGTAAACTATTGAGAACATCTACGTGGCCTTCACTGGCTGCTACATGCAAGGGTGTTTTTAAGTGGTTTGACGCAATACTATTTGGATCAGCACCTTTTAATAGAAGACCCTTAACAATCTCACCATAACCATTCCCAGCTGCAACATGCATTGGAGTTTCCTTTGCAATAGTCTTTTCGACTCTCAAATCTACATCTGCTCCATACTCAAGAAGAGTATTGACTGCTTCCAGGTGTCCAAAATGGCAAGCCAGGTGTAACGGTGCCATTCCGTACAACTCTTCTACGCCACAATCCATATCTTGTGTTGTAGGCTTGAGCTCGGGGATTTTCGGTGCCTTGCCATGTATGTAAGCAACCACTAAATCACTAACACTTTTACTAATAAGGTACTGAGAGATACGTTCTTCACGTTTTGTACTGATGTATTTTAGTGACACCACAGGGATACTTCTTAATTGCTCGTCCATGTTATGAAGCAGTAACAAAACAAAGATGAACTGATTAACACTTCTGCAACAACAAAAAGCAATGATAAATATTCAATCCAACAAATTTAAAGCAATTCAGATTAAAACTTTTGTATGTCGATAAAGGGGTTTGTTATAAGTGTTATCTTCAACCACAGAGAAAAACAATAAAGAAGCCCTCCTACGGAAGGCAGGGGTCACTTGCCAAGCAACAGGCGGCAAGAAAGTAGCTTGTAATTGATCATTATTTACATTTCGGCTTGTTCGACTTGTTGAGGAGGAGTAAACAAAAAAAGAGGTATATATGTTACCTAGCTGAGGTAAGGAAGGTTGGCAAGAAACACAACATTAAACAAAACCATAACAGCTTATTGCATTTGCATGCGTGATGTCACAGTAAACAAGTAAAATGTAACTCATTCATTGTACTTCAATTGTGTTGCATACTTGGTTACGATACTTGATGAAAGTTTAATTCGCTTTGTTATTATAAGAGTCAGCGCTTTTTTGCTCAGAATTTGGTGTTTTGCAGCAATGTAAGAGTACTGAAGAACGTTTCTCATACGCGAAATATTTATGCCAAATGCATACGCTGTTTATCTCTAGGCCTACACTATAGATGGCGAGGGAACGGTTCAGTTCAATCAATGACTGACTTTGTGAGACCATTTTACTAACAAACTCTTCCGCGTGAACCTTATGAAGCTTGCTACCAACAAAATTTGAACAGAGAGTGTCTGATCAATTCTAGAGTCTTTTTCATGGCGAAGATATTAGGAATGCCTCCATATTTAAGCTTAGCTGCTTTGCAACAGAAAATGAATTGGGTACTTCAAATTAGCTTTTGAGTAACTATATTCTTGCTCTTTTCTTTGATTTTATCTTCCCTTGTTTTTATGTTTTTATACAATTACTGCAATCTAATATGTTATAGTCACGCAATCATCATTTCCAGATGTTGTTATTACGATAACCGCATCAACATAACAACTCTATGTAAGTGTGGATTTGTTTAGCTAAAACAAGCTAATTGGGGACACTAAGGGAATAGAAAAACAGGTAAAAAGACAACAGTACTAAAAAAAATGATAATTAACAATTCTTGCACGAGTGCGCGTTGGATATGAGATGGTAAAGAGACGCGTAGCTCCGAGTTGGCGATAATCATCTCACGTCCACGAGTGCGAGTGGAATAACTGTTTTATTAAAAACGCCCACAAAATAACGAGAATTATTCCCGACTATATTTGTAAAAACAACCAATATTCAACTTGTTTTAATTTGGAGCAGGCGCGTACAGCTACCAAATTTAGAAAGCACTGTGTAATTAGCAAGGTTTTCGGCTTCTGTGGATAGCACCCTCCTCGATCCTTAGAATTACTCATATCCTACGAAAGCCGAATTCAATAATTGTTTTATTATCCCTTCAAAATAATTCCATGTTTAAAAACAAGCTAAAACATGCGAAGCTTGGTTGATGAAAATTCATATCGATAATGCATCTTTATCGGGAAGTTTAGGAGATAAAGGTCTGTTCAGGTCTGCAAATGTACTCTAGCCTGCGTAGCAAGCGTTTCCGTTTGGTTTCGGAGCAAAGAAATTCCGAGGAAGGGGACTTTCGGTTTTGACCGCGCGAGAAATGAAACGAGAGCCAAAGAGTGAAAGAGGGGAGAGGGGGAGGGGAAGGAAGGAAACGCTTGCAGACAAACCCCTCGATTTTGAAAACCTGCGTTCGCCAGCGAACGCAGCGCCTGATTGGCTCGGCTAGTCGAACAATGTTGACATGTGTCGATCAAAGGTTTGTTTCATACTGAGAGGTTATGTTTGGTACGTGACACGCATATTAATTTTCTGTGGTTATTGTTTATTCTGGTCGGCAAGTATTTCCCTCCAATGCAAGAGCATTTTATTTAACTTCTTTTGAAACGCAAAGCTCTTCTTGCGACTTTATAAGGGTTTCAGGTCGTTTTATTTGTCTCCTGGATCTGAATAACTAAAGGCGATTTTCTTTTGTCAGGGAATGCGAGGGTTTCCTGCAATGTTTTGTTATGCTGGGCCCAGCTCGTTAGTGGTTTTTTTTTTTGCGGGATGTTAAATTCTCTCGGATAGTGATTTACAGATACAAATTTTGAAGCATGGATTGCACCTTAAACTGAAGCTACATCAACTAGGAAGACCTGCATTGTGACTCAGTCAAAATTTCTGCTTGGTTCTCCACGCGCACTTTCAGTTGCCGGGTTAGCTTTGTTCTAGGATGCTTTTACAAGAGCACTCTAGTTGTCTGTGCCGTGCATGGCGAGAACGGTAAGCCGTTCTGTCTAGCTGATCTAGACTTGAATGCTTGTCACATTTTACCACTTCAAATCCAACTTTCTGGAGGTTTAGAGCTAAAACTTTAAAACTTCATTCACCCTCGCGGTCCTTCCTTTTAGACGGATTAAGAAGAAAAATGTACAAAGCCTGCATTGATCGTTCGGATTCATTGAGATTTCACCATTAACGCCGTCCACGCGCTCCAAAATACAAAAAAAAAATATTTTGGTTTCAAAAACGCGTCCTCTAAGGTTCATTTCCGCTCCACGGAAGGCCAAACATTTTATTGGTCAATTATGACAGTTGATGACAGCATCAAATGTCGGTTCGCGAACTCAGGCGTGACAGACCAAGTGGGTGGTTTTCAAAATCCCGGGGTTTGTCTGCAAGCGTTCTTCCCTTCCCCCTCCCCTCTCTTTTACTTGCGCCACTTTTCTCGCGGTCTTTGACTCTCGTTCCTCGTTCTTTTCGCCTAAACCGTACAGAAACGCTTGCTACGCCGGCTAAATGTACTCCAAATAGCAGATGTCGCCCGTCTTCATGCTGTTCTCGCCATGTTTATAGACAATATATATCCGTGAAACGAGTAAAATTTTTCGCGGACTTTTCAGCCACTAGTTTGTTCTGACTACCAAATCAACTGAACCTTGTCCCCAGGTTTTCTCGGTTAACGATTCAATAACCTGCAACCAGACTGCAATTTTGACGTGATTTTGACGTCATCGGTTCAATAAGACGAAATTCTTGCCAGATTTGGTCAACAGTATGTTATGAAGTAGTCTTGTGGTTATTTTTGACATTATTATGATAAGGATTTTTGATGACAGTTCTGTTTGTTCTTTCTTCTTCTCGTGATTTAAGTTTCGTTATGTTTGGGTTTGAGAATCAAGGTTAACCAATATATGCGTTAACAGGTTTTTGAGTGTTATTGCCTTTTTAATGGGTTTGTCGACAGAAGTGTCATCAAGCTTGGGGTTTAATTGAGTTTGATTGTCAGTTTTTAAGTGGGTACGTTTTGGGACCATTGCTGACCTTGATTAGTACCTACATCAGAGTTCCTGTTTTGGTTTAAGGTTAGCCTCGTGGATTTAGCTGTCAAGCTTTCATTGGTTCTCTTGTAGGATTGTTTATTCCACTTTTGTTAACAACGGGAAATTCGTTAGAAGTCATTCGGAATAGCGTTCGTAACTCTCATGATCAGCAAGCCTAAACGTACCTGCGTTATGCTTATATAAGTTGTATA